TTACAAAAGAATGTCTGACCAAAATTTCCAAGTCTTAAGTTTCTCACTCAAAAGACATTTCCTATACCGCAAATACTAAAACACTATTCTACCGTCTGTTGAAAGACAAAAATTACTTCTATGGACAAAGGTAAGAATATCCAGATGGAACTCACTGGATAAGAACTACAAAAAGATCAAACAGATCACTCGGGAAATTCAAGAGGCCAAGGAGGAAACACATAGAGTCGACATGGCCACCACAATATACAAAGCTGCAACCATGACGCTGGATGACGACCTGGTATCACAGATGAAGATAAAGAAAAATGTTGAGATGGTGATAGAGGACTTGCGAGAGAAGTTGGACATGCTTTGGTTGAAAGTGCAAGAAAGAGAAGCGAGAGAGTCGAGGATAGAATCGGAAACTGTCTCTCTGTTATCTAAAGGTGTGTCACTTGATAAGGAGCTGACAGTGGAAATGGAAGATTTCGCCTCCATGAGAGAAAAGATGGCCTCACTGAGGAAGAAGAACACAGCCTTCCATAGCAAAATTATTGATAAACTTCAGAGAATTTGCGAAAAATACCCCATCTACGTCGTCGTCTAGAGAGATTGGGGAACACGACGACGAGGAAATCGTCTATAAACCTCCATTCCTAGGCCGTCTGATAAAGGAATCTAATGCTGCAACAAGAAGGAAAATAACTAACGTGTCGTAATCATTTTATCTTTAAAAGCTCTATTGTTGCCTTTCAATTTCCTGGTAATCGTAATGAATGAATAAAAATTTTTTATCTTGTACTCGAACTACGTTGGGCCTAAACTTCCTTGTGAGATACGTAGGCAGCCTTCCCAGGAATGACCCCTATCTTTAATAATTTTAATTCTCCCCCTTTATGTTACGAGAAGATATGAAGGCCAGATCAACGGACGTGAAAGAGCAGCTGCAAGAAGACCTTAGGTAACGTGAATTAGCCTTTCTGAGACAGTGTCAAAAATAAAACAAGCAAATTCCTGCTTGTTAAAAAAAGTGTTTTCGTACTTACTCGTGAGTTGAAGGCATTATCAAACAAAGAACTCGTGTCTCTATCTTCTCTCTGTGTGATATTATGCATTTTGTATTCTGAATCTGCACTGACAAATCTGTCTTTGAGTTGTTTCCCTTCTCAAGTACTGTGAAACTGATCTGTGTAGATCAAAAGCTGGCAGATCATCCCTATTTCACCAGATCAAAAGGTCCCGCAGTTTCTTTCCCTAGACAAAGCTCAGAAAAAAGAAAGACAATTATGGGGGATAGTAATGAAGAAGTAAGTCTTACTGATGTTGTGGTGACTCAACCCATCATAGCGGACTAGAATGAGTTGATTCTGCAGCTTATGCAACATATTACAAAAATGAGAGTTGAAATGCAAAGGAGACAAGATCTTCCTCCGCCAGGGTTTGCTGCTAACGCTGCTGATGTGAGACCTCCAATCTATGTCCCTTCTTCAAATATGGATCCAGCCAAAAACCAGCCATCTATACCTGCTCAGAATCCCCAATATGCTTCCGCATCTTACCAAACTCGACCTCCTCCTCAAACCAATCACCCCCAAATGTCACCCCATCCTCAAAATACCCACAATCAAATCGCTCTACCACCGCAAAATCAAAACAAAAATACTTTTGATCCCCAAACACCCCACCTTACCTAAAAGAACCACTTTCCAAATTCCTGTTCCTGCCGAGCACGATGTGCACGGTTCTTAGCTGGACCATTATGAGGAACAAGAAAGGGAGTGGAGGGCAAATGAAGAGGCAAATGTCGACATAAAAGAAGAGATCAAGAAAGCCATGAAGGAGGTCCAATGTGTCCCTGATATCGCCGGGCTTAGTTATGAAAACTTATGTATTCATCCAAATTTGGAACTTCCAGAAGGGTTCAAGATCCCGAAGTTTGACACCTTCAGAGGAGTGGGCAGCCCTATGGCTCATCTGAGAGCCTACTGTGACCAGCTCGTGGGAGTTGGAAGGGATGAAGTTTTACTGATGTGTCTCTTCAGCAGAAGTTTGAGTAGGGAGGCTCTGCAGTGGTTCACTTCCCATGAAACCCGAAAATGGCCCAGCTGGAATGCTTTAGCAAAGGATTTTATCGATCGGCTTGCATATAACGTCAAAATTGTTCCTGTTCGATATTCTTTAAAGATGATGAATCCGAAATCTAGCGAGAGCTAGTTGCTTATAGGTGGACAAAAGAAGTTGCAAGGGTCAGATCGGCTATGTCAGAAAAGGAAATTGTAGAAGTGTTCGTGCGGGTTCAAGAGCCCGAGTATTATGATCGAATACTCTTGCTCGTAGGAGTAAAATTTTCTGAGATAGTCAAAGTTGGTGAGATTTAGAAGATGGGTTGAAAATGGGAAATATAGACTGTGTTGCTGTATCACCTGGATCATCAGGAACGTTGAAGAAGAAAAGAGAATAAATCGTTGCTGTTTCATATGGGGGAAAGAAAACCCAGAAGCTCGTCATATTCTCAAGGTGGTTCTCGGCCTTCCCAAAATTCCTACGAAGCTTCCTACACGCAAGCTAGTCATCCCAATAATCCGCCAATTTATTAGAATGCTACCTTCACTTATCCAAATGTCCAAGATCCACTATACCAAAGTCCACCTCCAAAATTACCAAAATCCATCTTCCATTTACCCAAATCATCTTCCACCCTACCAAATTCCATCTCCCTACCAGGGTGTTTCTCCCAACTGTGCTAAAATTTTGTCGAGCTACTGAGCACCCCCTCCTGTATATCCAGTCCAAACTCCACCATATCAAAATCCCCACCCAAACTACCAAGCTACAATGCCAAACTACCAGACAAACTCATATCCCAGATATCAAGCTCCCCATACGAACAATTGAGGTTATCAAAAGATGCCTCCCCCACAAGGAAGTTATGATCTCCTCTACCTCGGTTCGAGAAGAAATCTTCGAGGAATTTCACTGCGCTCACAGAAAGTTTCTTAAAGCTGTACGAGCGACTGGCTTCGACCGGATATATCTAACCAGTGGGGCCCAAACCAGTGTATATTTATTCAAAATTTTATAGGCCAGATCAGAGATGTGTTTATCATTTCAACAGTGTTGGGCATGATACTGAGGACTGTATCAACCTCAAGCACAAGATTAAGGATTTAATTGACTAAGAGGTGGTTTCTCTCCAACCAGTTGTACCTAATGTCAATACCAATCTTTTGCCAAGTCATGGAGGCCACAACGTTAGTATGATAGAAACAAACGATGATTGGTGTGGAACGAAAGTGATAACTTCAATAGTTCATGACGAGTTGGAAAAGGTTATAGCTTTCTCGAGCATCAAAGAGAAGAAATAATTCGTTATATTGACACTCGCAAAGGCTGTTGCCTTGGTGCCATAAAAAACTCTTATCAAGCAAAAAGTTGTGATTGAGACTGCTGCTGCATAAGGTATGACCCAATCGAGAAGATGTTATACTTCTGAGGATCTTGCTCTCGGAGTTCAAAAGAAGGATCAAGATAAAAGGCCAATAAGTAGGGTGAGGCAGAGGAATTCTTGAGAAGAATGCATCCGAAAGATTATTCTATTATCAAGCGTTTGGAGAACACTCCAGCCTAGATTTCTGTATGGTCCCTGGTGATGAGCTCTCAATCGCACAGGCAGACTTTGATGAAGGCTCTCGATGATATGTATATACCCGCGGCCAGAAGCAGCGGTAGATATGGTATTCCAAAAGAGACCCGAGACCCACCATTTTGCATTTTTCTCAACTGTTTGAATTTTTTAATTTTCCATCGTGATGTTTAAAAAAGGAAACATGGCTCTATGCCATGGACAAAGTTTGCACCATTTTTTCCAATTTGAATGAAAGCCTCTTTCTTTTGAAAATTTATTTATTTACTCATCTGCTATACTTTGCTTTTCTAACTTTTTCTGTTTATGGTTTCAATAATGTAAGTTTAAAACCTACCAATGTCATGTCATGTCACGAGCTGAACGAACAGAATGAGGTAGGTTATGATGAGGTTGATGATTACGAGGAGGAAAATGAGGTATCAGAGTATGTTACCGAGGAATTTTGACAGTTCAAAAACCAGCATAAACCAAATCTAGAGAAAACTGAAACTGTAAATCAGGGAGACCAAGAGTGTGTCAAAGAAGTCAAGATTACCGTTCACTTGAATGAAATCAAAGAAAGTCCCTGATTCATTTACTCACTTAGTACATTGATGTGTTCGTCTGGGAAGTCGGTGACATGCAAGTGTTGAGTACTGATGTTGTATCTCACAAACTGCCGATTAGTCCAGGCTTTAGTCCGGTGAAGCAAAAGGCTCGGAAGTTCAACCCAGTTGAGTTTTAAGATCAAAGAAGAGATCACTAAGCAGATTGAGTCTCATCTGGTAGAAGTGATGCAATACCCAACTTGGCTGGCCAATGTTGTTACAGTTGCCAAAAAATACGGAAGATCAGAATTTGTATCGACTATAGAGATCTCAACAAAGCTAGACCGAAGGATAATTTTTCATTAACGAACATTCACATTCTGATTGATAACTATGCTAAGCATGAAATGCAGTCATTTGTGGATTGATACACTAGCTATCATCAGATTCTGATGGACGAGGAAAATGAAGAAAAGACAGCTTTTATTACACCTTGAGGTGTATATCATTACAGGGTGATTCCATTTGGCCTCAAGAATGCTTTTGCTACCTATATGAGGGCTATGATGACTATATTTTATGATATGATTCATAAGGTGATTGAGATGTACCTAGATGACGTCATAATCAAGTCCCGTGAGAGTTCGGAACACTTGACACATCCAAGGAACTTCTTTGATCATTTGCGTCGTTACAACTTGAAGTTGAATCCCACCATATGCGTTTTTGGAGTTCCAGTCGACAAGTTGTTGGGATTTATAGTCAGCAGAAGGGGCATTGAGATCGATCCTTCTAAGATTAAAGCAATTTAAGAGTTACCTCTGCGGAAGACGAGAAAAGAGGTGATGAGTTTCTTCGGGAGGTTGAACTACATCAGTCGATTCATAGCTCAATCAACCGTGGTGTGTGAGCCTATCTTCAAGCTGTTGAAGAAAGATGCTCCAACAAATTGGACTAAAGAGTGTCAGACTGCTTTCAATGCTATCAAGAACTATATATCAAATCCATCGGTATTGGTTCCTCCACGATAAGGGAGTCCGTTGTTGCGGTATTCGTCCGTCTCAGTTAGTGCATTCGGATGCGTACTCGATCAACTTGACGAGACATGAAAGAAGGAAAGGGCTATATATATAAGCAAGAACTTTACTCCATACGAGTCCCGTTACTTTTGTTGGAGAGAACGTGTTGTGCTTTGACTTGGCTTTCCCAAAAGTTGAGACATTATTTATCTTCTTACACTACATACCTTATTTCCAGAATGGATCCACTGAAGTATATTTTCTAGAAGGTGATGCCAACCGAAAAGTTAGCTAAGTGACAAATGCTGGTGAGTGAATTTGATATTGTGTATGTGACTCAGAAGGAGATAAAAGCACAGGCCTGATCACTTTGCAGAAAATACCATTGATGAAGACTATGAATCGCTCAAGACTTACTTTCACGATAAAGAAGTACCGTTTGTGGGTGAAGATATTTCTAAAATGTATCCAGGCTGGAGATTATTCTTTGATGGAGCAGCAAATCATCAAGGAAGGGCATCATATCAGTCTTAGTTTCAAAGTCTGGTCAGCGTTATCCCATGGCAGCCATGCTCCAGTTTATTTGCACGAACAACATGGTCAAATATTAAACTTGTATTCTTGGTTTGAAAATGGCCATCGACATGAATATCCACGAATTGATGGTTATTGTAGATTCAGATTTGTTGATTCACCAGGTTTAAGGAAAGTGGTCCGTGAAGAACCCAAAGATTATACCTTACGTGCAATATGTACAGAAGTTGTGCAAAAGATTTCGTAAGATCGAGTTCGGACATACTCCTAGAATACAGAATGTGTTGGCTGATGCTCTTGCCACCGTCACTTCAATGATTAAACATCCAGATACCGATTATATTATTATTCTGGATATACAACTGAAGGAACATCCAGTCCATTATTCACATGTTGAAGCAGAACCGGATGGTTTACATGGTATTTTGATATAAAAAAGTATTTGGAGTCCGGGAATTATCCTGAAGATGCTACATCCAACCAGAAGAGGTCGATACGCCGTATGACTCTCAATTTGTTTGTAAGCGGAGAAGTACTTTATAGGAGGACTCCAGATTTGGGTCTTCTTAGATGTGTCGATGTTGTTGAAGCTGCAAAACTTATTGAACAAATACACGTTGGAGTTTGTGACACGCATATGAATGGGCTCGCTTTGGCAAGAAAAATCCTTCGAGCTGGGTATTTTTGGATGACTATGGAGAATGATTGTTGCAAGTTTGTGCAAAAATGCCATAAATGTCAAGTGCACGGTGATTTGATCCGAGTGCCACCTCACGAACTCAATGTTATGAGTTCACCTTGGCTATTTGTAGTTTGGGGTATGGATGTTATCGGTACGATAAAGCCATCCGCTTCTAACGGACACAAATTTAATTTGGTTGCCATTGATTATTTCACCAAGTGGGTGGAAGCAGCTTTTTACAAGTCGGTAACCAAGAAAGTGGTAGATGATTTTATTCGCAACAATTTGATATGCAGGTTAGGGGTACCAAAATCAATCATTACTGATAACGATGCAAATCTCAACATTCATTTTATGAGAGACATATGTGAGCAATTTAAGATTACTCACCGAAACTCAACCGATTATCTCCCTCAAATGAATGGAGTTGTAGAAGCCGCCAATAAGAATATCAAGAAGATTCTGAGAAAAATGATTGACAATCACCGAGGTTGGCATGAGATGTTATCATATGCTTTATAGGGTTATGGGACGACTGTCAGAACGTCAACTGGAGCTACGCCATATCTGCCAGTATACAAAACAAAAGCAGTCCTACCGGCTGAAATCATCCAAGAAGCAGAGCTGAGTAATGCTAAATGGGTTAGCAAGAGAATTAATCAGTTAATTTTGATTGACGAAAAAAGAATGGTTGTTGTTTGTCATGATCAACTGTATCGACACAGAATGGTTCGAGCTCTCCACAAGAGGTTCAGAGCCAGGATTTTTGAAATTGGTGAGTTGGTACTTAAGTACATTTTCCTCATCAAGACGAGTACAAAGGAAAATTCACACCAAATTGGCAAGGTCCTTACATGGTTCGCAAAGTATTATCTAGAGGTGCTTTGGTGCTGTTGGAGATGGATGGCACCGCGTGGCCAAAACCAATCAACTCAGATGCTATCAAGAGATACTACGTGTGAAGCTTCGGTTTGCATTTCTGTTATTTACTTGTAATTGTTATTTTTGCTTGTATTTGCTTTGTTTATAATTTTCCCCTCCTTGTAATGAACTACGTCTGACCTGAATTCTCAAAAATGAGATACGTAGGCAGCTATGTCGGCCTCGGTCACCCCTCTTGTTCCCTTTAAATATTTCATTGTATTAGAACTACGTTCGACCTGGATTCTCAAGAATGAGATACATAGGCAGCCTATGTCAGCCACAATTTGTAATTTTATTCTTTAACCTTTAAGGAGACATGATACGTAGGCGCCATAAGGGTTTGGTCATATTTCCCGTAAGATTTCTATTCCTCTTTACAATAGAAACTAGGACATAATTTTTGAGGAAGACTCAAAAAGTCTCGAAAAGAAGACTTGTCCTCAGCAAGTCAAGACTGAAGATACTTCAAAATTTGCAACTGGGACACAATTTTTGAGAAGATCTCAAAAATTCCATGATTTACTTACTAACAGTTGAAGATAAGCCAAACTTGTAACTAGGACAGAAATTTTGAGGATGGCCTCAAAATTTCAACTAGAGTCTGTCAACATTCCAGAGTGACTTTGAATACTCCCTATCGAATGATAAGAAATACTTGTAAGCATCAGACTAAAAAGAGTTCGCTAAGCCTGATGTGACATGACACTTGGCAGTGACCTTTTTCAATATACTACTTCTCGAAACTTTATTTTTCTTAAAGTTTTCCCTTTATGTTTGATTTGTTTCGGCATAAAGTATTTTATTTTATCTATCAAGAGTTGGAAGGTTAGGAGGATCAACCGGAGATAGCAGGACAAGGAGCAGACAACTGAAGAATCGACACAGATCAGTTCTTTTTAAAACTAATGATTTTTTTGTGGATGCAGATTTAGAGTATTCCTTAAAAATCATCAAAATTCTCTGATTGAAGAATATGGAAATTCAAAGGGTCAGTTTCCAACAACATGAAGTCTATAAGGAATGTCCAGCTAGATTCAAGATGAATCAAGAGAAAATCTCAAGACAGAGGTTATGGTTTCATAAAGGACGTCATCTGCATCATATTATCAGAGATGATATTATTAATACCCGGAGGGGTCATTTATTTTATTATCAATCGGGACGATACACTATCTTCAAGAATCATTTTACCGCTATTGTCATTTGAGACGATATGATTATACAGAAGGCACCCTGAAGATCACTATGTTGCTCGATTAAAGCACTATATTCATTTGGTACAAAGGATGACATCAATAGCAAATATTCATGCACCGCGGGAAGATATTCATAACTCGCAAAAAATCACGCATTACGGGAGAGATTCTTGCCCCGCAGAAGATCATGCATCGCGGAAGTCATGCATCACGAGTCAATATTCATACATCGCGAGTCAATATTCATGCATCATGGAAGATCATGTATCGCGATTTAATACTCATGCATCGTGGAAGATCATGCATCGCGAGTTAATACCCATGCATCGCGGAAGATCATGCATCGCGAGTTAATATTCATGTATTGCGAGAAGATATTTATGTCTCGAAGAAAGTTATGCATCGCGAGAAGATATTCATGCCTCAAAGAAAGTTATGCATCGCAGGAAGATATTCATATCCCACAGAAGATCATGCATCGCGAGTTAATATTCATGCGTCGCGGAAGATCATGCATCGCGAGTCAATATTCACACCCCTCAAGAAATAAAGCATTGCGGGAAGATATTCATGCTCCGCAAGAAATCATGCACCAACATAGATTGTGCATATCAAGAGAAGTAGTTACCCATCGACATCAACTACATTCTGTTATTTTGATAAAAGTAAGCATCAAGAAGAGCATCAAAGACGACACCAAGAGAAATATTGGCACTACATCAGCATTTATTTATTTCGACAAGGGTACATTGAATATTATATTGCAAACACAAGACATAAGCGTTATTTGTTTTACGTCAAACCCAACGGAGTTGATGTCGAAAGAAGAAGGAGAACAACTAAATGTCAAAGCGGTCCAGACGACATCAAAAAAGGATGTAGCATAACGTGAAACTTTTTCTTAGTAGAGAATTGGGACATAGTTCAAAGAGGATGGTCAAACTCTTCAGGACGCGAGCAGAGGAGCGACTTCCACCGCAATCAAACCACACCGCTATCAGAAGGCATGTGGGTTTTTCTTTGAGTTTTATCAGTTTTGGTTACGCATATGGAAATTTTGATGTCTGCCGGAGGTAAGTTTCCAATCTGAGTGACAATACGCTAAGAGCTTTGGAAATTGTGTCAGCTTAAATTCTTAATTATGGGTGTGAAGTGCGCCACATTCATAGCTAAGAGGTTACAAGCCTCCTTTTCATACTCGTTTAATATTATCACTTGTCTAGGGACAAAGGTTATTTAGCATAACAGATCCCTTTTCAACCGATCGAGTCAAACTACAAATAGCCTGATTCCCAGGTTTAAGGATATGTAGTAGAGCTCAGTGTTGAAAACTCAACTGTATTCCAACACTCTCTCTTAAATCCTATTCTCGAGCATTTCGGTCCCCTCATAATTCGATACCAGAGTGACTTTTGATTTCTTTCAAAATTGTGCGTTAAATAAAGCATATCGAACTACAAGTGACCTGAATTCTCATATAGCCTAAGACATGTAAGAAACCCATTTCTGGGGTTTGACTATAATTTCTAAAGTCCTTACCGAATCCCTGGCTTAAAAGAGTGAATGTGTGGTCGGTCAAAATTGGATTGGTCAATTTCATTTTTCTCGAAATTATTGCATCAATCTAAGTAAAATGAGGGACAATTGTTGACACCCAATTTTGATACTCCCCCACAAAAATTAATTGACGAGCTTCTTAATTCTAAAATGATAAAATAATTAGTCTTTATAAAGTTTGAAGTATTTTGCAAATTTTCTCGAAGACTATTTGTACTCTTTTTTTTGTAATTGCTTAGTAATATGTACATATATATACGTATGTACATATATTATTTTATTTAAGGGTATTTTAGTATTTATTTTAGTTACATAGTATACCGTTTTGGATTAATTATTTTTATGAGTAACTTGATTTTTTTGTTAAAATTATGAAGCTTGTCAATTTGATTTATGTTGATTCATCACTCTTATTCACTTCCACGGAATTCGCCAAGTGATTTAACTTGGTTAATTTATCAATCCTAAGGACATTTTGGGGCCCTTATAAAATATTTTTAGCATTTCCATCCCGACCCACCTTCAAGACCCAGGCCCATTCGCCATTAACTCCATACCCCTCTTTGTATTCAACCCATATCCAATTCCAAAAATTCGCAGACCCAATTTTATTTCAGGACCACTCTTTCCCAGTAGCCCATATAATCCAAGTTAATCATCCCGCTCAGTTTATTGACCTGATCCAAACCGTTCCATCCTCTTCTTCTCCAACGCGTGAAAACCAGCGCAGTCACGCAGGAATCATCGCGCTGTAGCGATTCAATCCCTTCACGCGCGAACGATCCCCTCTTATCCCATTTCTTCTTCGCGTTATAAATCACAAATCGGGAATCACCAGTAGACGCACGAAAAAAGCAACAGCAGGCTGAGGCGGTACTTTTTTGGCATCTTCTCTAACGTCTCTTTTAAGCGTACGACCTCCGCAGAGCACAAGGCACGCGAAATCATCCTTGGTATTCTGGAATTCAGCCATGTCACTCACCCAGGACGAATGGCCGATCTCAGTGCTCCACCTCACCTCAAATCCGTTTGATTCGTTTGGAATCGAAGGAATATTCGGTGAGCTTTGGATAAGATTTCGGATGGGAATTCAAAAGGGGTCTTGAAAATTTGATCATATCCTCGTCTTGCCCCCTAATTTTAACCGAAAATCCCTATAACCTCTGCTTCTCTCCATTTTCAGGGTTTTTTTTGGGAGGGGATTTAAAACTTGGCTTTGAGAGCTTTTTCTTTTGAAATGTTTTCGAGTAAGAACAGGGGAATTTTTGACAAGGATTTTCTTTTGGAGTTTGGAATTTTTTTTGGGATTCGCTTCACAGAAAACAGAGGATTTTGGTTGAGGTATAGATCGAAACAAACGAAAGGGTCCAATACTAAAATAGATTAAAGAATTATCCATCCAAAACAAGATATAGATACTTGGAGATATAGGTTATAAGGTAGAGGGAAGTCTCTCTCATTGCTTTGCCTCCTCTCATCTTCGTTTCACCTGTTAAAGTTTCCGAAGTCATATTACGGTGGTGAAGTAGTCTCCTCCTTGTCGTCTCATTCGCTGCACGGAAGAAGGTAACAACCCCATGCCCTCTCGTTTTCATATCATGTTTCTGTCTTTCGGATTCTTGGTGTCTTAGTTTTATGTTTGTCTTGAATCGATTTTAGTATTTGCTTTAGCATGGATTCGAGGGAAATTTGATGTTTTGTAGTAGATGCTGTTGTATCTACATTTGGATTGGTGTTGTTTTTTTCTCTCTGTCTATTTATTTGAATATTGTTGAATCCTTTTTTTTAATTATTTGTAAGCTACTGTTAATGACATACACTTTCAAGTCACGATTGAATCTTAGAACTAGTTAATATGAAGTTGTGTATTACTCGGGGTGTAGTAACTCATTCTCGTCGTTTTAACGCCCTTTGTTTGTTATACTTCCTAGCTGAGTGTTTCACTCAAACATACACTTTCATTTCTCTTAAATCTGATTGTGAATGCTTACAACTTGTCGTCTTAAGATGATAAAAATGTGAGTGTTGCTTCCCAATTTCCCTTTTATTGGTTGTTCTTGTTTTCATGCCTCGATTACTAGTATTAGTTGATGTTTTGTTATGTAGTAATTTGCAACATGCTTTACCCTAGAATAGAATTTGTTCATTAATATAATTTTATTTCGCATAGTTAGCATTCGCCTGGCGACTATTTAACTGTACGTGTCTATATGTTATAAATATAAAGTGCAAACGTGTTAGCATGTTCTTGTTGATTTATCAAAGCATAATATTTTATTTTGACTTCGCTTTATGTGACAATTACTAATCTACCATCTC